GAGGAAGAGCAAACCATGATGGGCCATATGTCCTCACTCGACCACAGGAGAGAAGAGRATAGGGATGAGCGGCATCCTGCACCAATCACACTCAGGGCCATGCTGGGGCCAGCTCAGCTGCACTGGGATGTCYTGCTGGGGATGCATCCCAAGCAGGGCTAACAGGGATGTTCATCTTCTCCAGAGAGTAGCATTAGAGCAAGGACCTTACAGGGCTTTCCAGGGAGAATTTCACAACCTACCAGGAAAAACAATGGTTTCGGTGTTTGAAATTTCATTATTTGCTGGTCAGAGAAGGGAGGACTATCAGCAGGRGAGGAGGAACAGTGACCATCCCAGGAGTACCACAGAGTCCAGAGACACCACAGAGATGAGAGCTTTACAAACATAAATGGGTTTTCTTCCTYTGGCCTCACTGCCAGCAAGAATCTTTAGAGTTTATCAAAATTCTTAGGCTGTCACAAGTTAAATAACTGGTTTTAGTAGCAGAGGAGCTGTGGGGGTGGCTTTCTGTGAGAAGCTGCCAAAAGCTTCCCCAGTATCCAACAGAGCCGATGCCAGCCAGCTCTAGGACAGAGGTGCCACTGGCCTTGTCCAAGCCCATCAGGGACAGTGGTAGCACCTGAGAAGAAAGGGGAGGAAAATCTGGCAAAACAGCAAATGAAAACAGGGAGTGAGAATATGTGAGAGAAACAGCCTTGCAGACACCAAGGTGAATGAAGGAGTGGGAGTGGATGCTCCAGGAGCAGATGGATGCCAAAAGGAGGTTGTTACCATGTGGGAAGCCCATGCTGGARTAGGCTTCTGGAAGGACYTGTGGCCCCAYGGAGAAAGAAGCCCAGCTAGAACAGATTTGCTGGCAGGATTTGTGAGCCCGTGGGGGACCCAGCCTGCTCCTGAAGAACTGCGCCCCAGAAAACAGGCCCAAGCTGGARYAGTTTGTGCAGAACTGCAGCCATGGGAAGTTCTCATGCTGGAGAAGTTCAAGGAGGACTGTCTCCTGTTTGAGGGACCCCATGCTGGAGCAGGGACAGAGTCTGAGGAGTCCTTTCCTTGAGGAGAAAGGAGCAGCAGAGACAACATGTGATGAAMTGACCACAGACCYCATTCCCTGTCAAGGAAGAAGGGAAAGAAAATAAGGAATAAGGTTGAGCCTAGGAAGAAGGATGGGGTGGGGGGAAAATGTTTTTAGGATTTAGTTTAACTTCTCATTATCCTACTTTGATTTGATTGATGGTAAAAGAAATTAATTTCACTTTGTCCTTATCTTGACCCATGAGCATTTTGTTATATTTTCCCTGCCCAGTCCAGCCCGGGAGAGGAGTGAGGGAGCTTTGGCAGGTACCTGACATCCAGCCAGGGTAAACCCACCACAATACCAATGCCAACATTTTATTTTTCTGTAGGACCTTTCCCCGCCAAGGATTTTAGTTATTAGTGAAGAGATACCAAGTATGTGGAACCTGAATTGGCACTGTGGTACGGTGGTGTAAAGCCATGGAAAAGCAGAGCAGTGAATTAGGTGCCCAGTCTCAGTAACCCTCACAAATTTTCAGGGCWTAAAAGAGTTCAAACAACTATTTGGAGCACTTAGAAAATGAAGATGAAATACATAAGGCACCACAAGAAACTTACAGAAAGGCACACAGCATGACCAAATCCTTCTTATTTTTAATATTTCTATTTCTCCTTCTAAACTTTTTCTTTAAATTTCAAAATAATGAGAAAATGTGCTTCCTTGAGACAAGCCAGTACTATCAGCTAAACAACCTCACATTCATCGTAGCACTCCAAGTGCTCTGGAATGCTTTTCAGCCCAGAGGATAATAGTATTAGACGACCAGAAAGGCTGTCCTGTAAAAGACTGTTATTATGATTTCCAGTCTCAGAAGTTGGCTTAATCCAGCTGAGCACACACATGTTATTTAGAGAGGAGACTCAGCTCAGACACTGGTATCATCGTCATCTTTATTGCAAATGAAGGGTTCAGCCAGTGAAAGGCAAGTCACGTTTTTTTTGTCCTAAGCCCTGCAAACACTGGCTGTTGCACTCCTCTTTGCACTCTGCAGCGAGAGTCTGGAGCTGCTGAATGCAGAGCTGTTTGCACAGATTTGCATCTGTCTAAAAAATCCCGTTTTCTCTCTTGTCACCTAATCAATCAAACGGCAAAAGATGCACTCCCTGCACCCTCCAAGGAAAACAGCTCTGTGCCCACACAAAAGGCAAAGCACGAGCATAGGGGTTAACTAGAGGTAATAAGCTGTGAACCCTGTGAGAGGAGCATTTTTTTTTTTTTTTACTGTCTGCTTGAAATTTCATGCTGCTCTTCCTCTGTCTGTGGAACAAAAGAAAAAGAGGCAGTGATGCTCTGAGTTGGGACAAAAAAAAATCTGGGATTGTTCCCTGCATGAGAAAAATACGTTTGGAGGATTACTGGGAGAATTTGCACCTTGACTTGGGGAGGAAACACTGCTCAGCTTCTCTCCCAGGGTTTAGGCAGAACAGCTCCCTCCCAAAGGACTGGTTCTCCCGCCCACACCCCACCAGGTGAGCAGGACCCATCTCCCACCCCAGCCTGCCAAGAACCGGCAGCCAGGCATCAATCCCTGCRGATCAGCTCGCAGCTGGTACCACTGCTTGGAATTGCTCAAATCTGCCCATGCCAAAACCTGCCAGGGCCRCTGCTGCCTCATCACCAGGGTCAACCACATCCTTTTTGCTCCAGGGAGGATACTGCATTTTACTACACAGCACWGGAGTGAAGGTCCCTCCATGAATATTCAGCACAGAATTCTACCTTTCATTCTTGCACTGATAACTGATAACTGTTCTTTGCTAACACTCCTCCTTATGAGCCACRCTTGCAAGCCAAAACAGCTTGGCCTCCCTCTGTCCTTCCAGTCACCTCCCCAGAAATGAGCTACTGGGCACTCAAGATTCATGCCAGGATGGGAGGGACAGCAGCTTCCTCTCCTCAGTCTCAGGGAAGCAGCTCAAACAATCTGAACCCCAGTGAGCATCAGTTCTTCCTGGGCAAGCGCTCCTTCCCTGGCACATYTTCCCATGAGAGGCAAGCACAGAGGCCTTAAAATAAATCTGTCTTTTTAAAGCAGCAATGCTAAATGAAGGTTTGAGATCAAAGGCTGGGATTCTCACATTTTGCCAAGATAGACATATCCATTCACGAGATTTTTGGTGTAACAAAATACTTGCTAATGAAGAGGATCATAATCTTATTATTAGCCCCAACCTACCACAGTATGTCATTCAAGAGCAGGGTAAAATATGTCCTAGTTTAGGAAGTTGCACAGTGGGCTTTGCTTTTGATTTAATGAGCTGTGATTGTGTTTATTTTCAGCAGCAACTATGCCCGTTAAATTTTGGTTGAAGGTCTGATCGTTAACGACAGTAATCGACGGGAAGGATGAATTTAGGTTGAAGGGGAGGAAAATAGGAATCATATGTCTCCGGGATTCAGTCCCCAAGCAAGCAGACACAAGGTGCTCAGGAACGCCTGCGCTTTCTCTGCTTTTGCAATGCTTGGTGATGGGTTTTCAACCACTGGTTAAGCCGATTAAGGGGATTCAGATATACAAAAACAAAGATTTTTGCAGTTATGGAGTGGGGCACAGAGGAGAGGCAGGTATAGGAGATCAACCATGGGAGCCAAACTTGCCTCTTGTGGGATGAGCCATGGGGGACATGGTAGCCTMCATTATCAAGATCCCAGGAATTTTAAGATGGGGGGACACATCAGTAGTGTGCAAGAACTAAAAAACCTGCCAGACAAGGAAAACAGAGAAGAAGTAGGAAGGCAAATACAAAGGGAGACATATAATCTGTGAAAAAAAAAAAATTGCTATAGCAGAGCTGGTTAGTGTAGGCACTGCTCTGGAGTGAGATGGGGCCCTATGCAGCAGAGTCTCCCCAAAACTGACAAATTAACASCCCCCCCTCACTGCTGCCTGTCTGGGTAACCTGAGCTGGGCCACTGAGCAGGAAGAGCAGGGGAGGACAGGTCACAACTCAGACTCTCCCTTCACAACTGTTTACAGCTGGTGTTTGTGTCTTGGTTTCCAGCCTTACGAAGGGTGCTGTGCTTTGTTTGACACCATCAGCCCCAAAGGGACCCAGCACAGTTTATTTTCCAGCGTCAAAGAATGCACACACAGACAGAGCATGTGCATGTATGTACAGGCAGGACACCCACAAGGGGCGTGAAGGAAACACAGACCTGGACAGACACATGGATAGACACACACAGCCAGCTCTAGCCCTTAAAATGTTGCCACCTACAATATTAGAGCGAGCAAATAGATGCAGATGAAATTTGTTACAATCCTACCATACCTCAGCTACTCAAAACAAAAAAAGCTCCAGCTGAGCATGGTGAGTGATGGGAAACAGAAGAAATCTTAGGGATACATCCACTTCATGTGTAAAGACACAACGTATCCTTAATAAATGAAAAGAATAAATTACCCACTCACTTTGCCCGCACTTAGCCTGCAGCAGGGCTGGGCTCGCTGCTGCCTTTCCGAGTCTGTGCCCAGCCTGGACACGGGCTCAGCCGGAGGCTGCTGGCAGGCAGCGAGGTGTTTTGCGGAGAAGTCACCGACCAGCAGCTTGTCAGCTCCAGCGCCTGTGAATTCCTGCGGCAAGTGTAAAAAATCAGTTAACACGTTGTTCTATTTTAAAAGCGATTTTTTTATGACGGCCGTCTGCCTGACGGGGGACCCCACCTCTCCGCCATGGCATCCGGGGGATGCGTGTCCCCTACACCCCCTGACCTGTGACCCCCTGCTCGGAAGCTGGAGAAGAGACCCGGGGAAGGGAAGGGGACTGGGGCAGGAGGTCACAGCCCCGGGAAACTCCGGCGGCTGGCTGCTCAAGGGGCTCATTGTGCCCGGGACTGGGCGGTGCCGCCTCCCCGCGGGCCGGGGCTGGGAGCGGGGCGGGCCGGGGCGGTGCAGCCCCTCCGGGGCCGGGACCGGGGCCGAGCCCCAGCCCGGGCAGGTCTCCATCYCGCCGCAACCATGGCAGAGGGCTCCGACAAGGTGCCCATCGCCCGAGTGGGGCCCGACGATGTGGAGCTGTGCCTGCCCCCCGTGAGTGCTGGCGGCAGGGACCGGGTGGGAGCGGGACAAAACGTGTGGGCATGAGCTGGGATAAAACGGGATCGAGCGTGTGGGGACGGGACGGGACGGTAGGGAACGCGTGGGGTCGGGACAGGTCGCGACGGGATGGATCGGGACAAAACGGGTCGGGTCGGGTCGGTTCGGGTCAGCCCGGGGTACAGCACGGGACACAGCGCTCGGCACGGCCGGGCTCGGGTCCAGCCCGCTCCCACCCGCTCTCCGCAGGCGTAYGCGGCGGCCGCGACCCCCGCGCCGGGACGGCTGCTGAAGGCCGGGGCTGCGGTGCTGATCGCCGGGGCCCTCCTGCTGCTGGCCGGGGCCATCGGCGCCTTCTACTTCTGGAAAGCCACGGAGCGGCAGGTGAGCTCGGCGGGCCGGGCTCCGCAGCACGTCCGCACCCGGGGCCGGGTGGGCTGGGAGCTCTCGCACGTACGGAGAGGCAGGGGCTGGAAGCGCTTCTTGCAAGGTCTGTAAAGAGGTCTTTAAGCAGACCTGTAGGTTTTCAAAAACCCCAAACACCTGAAAACCCAAAGCCATAATCACTGTCTTTGGTGGCTGTGTGGATGGAGCTTCCTGGAAGCACATTTATTAGTGAACAYGAAACACATCATTGAGAGCACAGACTCTACATTGATTTCTGCTCACAAATCTTCAGTGAACTCAAACCCCAACAAGACCCCAGGGATTCACATCCTGGGCAAACTCCAGCTCTCAGGACAAAAAAAAGCATTGAAATGTGTCAATTCTTTTTTCACAGCGTCTGCATTCTTGGTCCAGATTCTACCTGGACCCTCGAGTATGTAATGCTATAATCAAYCCATTAACAGGCATCATTAATTCACTCCGGTCCTTTGTATAACTGTGCATACACTTAGGCACTTCTGGTTTGCAGCTGTGGAGCAATTTTTAAAGCATTGGTTAAGTTTTATTATTTACAGTTTCTGGGGTACACGAAAAATACTTTATGCGAAGAATGAAACTGAGAAGCTGGTGATCACTTTAAAAACCAAATTTCAGATCATTAGAACATGTTTACATATTAACTTTTCTTTCTGTTTACATGGAATTTGTGTTTAAAACATATTTGAAACATGATGGTACACACATGAATGTAACTTTCTCCCTAAATTAAATTAGTACCCTTGAATTTACTTTGGAAGAAGTTTTGTACTGCTTCCAGCCATGCTCCAGCCCTCATCAAGGAGAGCCTTGTGTGAATTCCAGCAGCCAGAGCAAAGGTGCCTCTGTGAGATACACCCATGCACATAGGGACAATCAGAAAGAAAAGTACAAGGTTCTACAGCAAGACAGGGCACTTTGCTGACCTCTCAGATGTGCTGCAGGAACCGTATGCTTCTCTAGGCTTTTGGAAAGGGAGAGGGATGCAGATGGTGACAGGGGACAGTGCTTTCAGCTTTGAGCAGGTGGGTGCATTTGTGGAGTATAGGACGGTGTTTCCCTTTTTTAATGCTCCCTTCATCTAAATTCAGCCATACAAAATATGTCACCTTCACAGTTTTCATTAAGCTTCAGAGTTGATCTCTAGGTGAAGACACTGGGAAAGCTGAGAGTTATTTTTCCAATCTGCCTTCAGACTCAAAGCTGCAATTGACTTGCAAATGTTTAGGAAGCAACTATAAAAAAAAATTCAGTCATTGATGAAAAAAAACAAGGCAATTTTGAAATTCTTGGTTTTATTTTGTATCTTTAAATTCTTCCCTAACTGACAGGGGTATCAAAGTCTCAACTCTAGCTCAGCCCCTATCAAGGGAGACCACATACACTGGTCTGATTTTATGGACTATGTTCAACAGGAGTCCTAGAAAGCAGAGAATACAGGAAGGCTCTGTATAACTGAGGAACCATAAATCTTTAGCACCTTAGACTTCCCTGAGCGAAGGTAAGAGAAGAAGAAATTTGTCTCTAGCTGTCAGTGTAAATTTTTCATTAAAATGCTGTAAAGGCTTTTTTAAGACCCAAAATAAACTGCTTGTGCAGCACTTTTAGCAGAGCTGCACAAGAGAATTGCAAAACCCCTCCACAGATTGTGGTCCTCCAGCAAATACAAACCACACTGTAACTCTCCTCATTGAAAATAGGATAAGGGCAAATACGCTGACATGGAAAATACGAGTCTATACAACTTCACATCCAATTTAAACAAAGTTTACATCCATTACAAGCTGGGAAGTATCCTCGTATTCAAGATGAACCTGTTTTCCTGTGCCTCAGCAGAACATCCGAGAGATAAATAGGGGTTSGCCTTCTTCAGAGTAGGACATTCACGCCTGCTGTCTTTTGGGAATCATGCCAGCATAACAAGCAGTTCCTAAAATGTCCTAGAAGGTTTTTAGGTCAGAGTGAACATGGGTGYGGACTCACCCCACATTGTTTTTGAAGTAAAATTATAAGCACTCCCTGGAAAGGGGACCTCCGGAGGTCTCTAGTCCTACCTGATGCTCAGAGCAGGGATGGCTGTGGGGTCAGAGATGGTTGCTCAGGGCCTTATGCAGTCACTGAAAACTTCAAAGGGTGAAGACTGAACAACCTCTCAGAGCTGCCCCACTGCCAGCCTGCCCCAATGGTGAAGTAGTGCAGTGTTGGTTGTTGGAGGGTTATCAAACATGTGCAGAAGCAAAATTTAGGAGCTAAATAGGGCTATGACAGATTGACTCATTGCCTGGTGTAGGAGGAAGGGAATAAGTAATTACTGGCATGTGCTACCTCTCTTTTATTGATTCCAGGTATACAACGTGCACTATACTATGAGCATTAATGGAAAAGTACAAGATGGATCAATGGAAATAGATGCTGGAAACAACTTAGAGACATTCAAAACAGGAAGCGGGAGTGAAGAGGCCATTGAAGTCCATGATTTTCAGATTGTAAGTAGTGCCACCCTTGTCCTTCGTGTAACACACCCCAGTGCTGGACTCTTAAGGACSCCTTGCTCTGCCCTGACTTTCCCGCCCCAGTTGGTCTCAGGTGGCCTCCAGCCATCCACACAAACTTTTTTGCTCCCCTAGCTTGCTTTCACAGGGAGACAGGCAGTTTCCTCCACAACAAAAATCTAAGTGCTTTTTGGAGATAAGCCATGCCAGGTACCACTCCGGGAAGTGGTGTGGATTAGGCTGCAGCAGGTTTGGCTCCATCTAAACACTTTGCATTTTCAAACCACTGAGCAGAGCTATGAAATCTGACCTTGGGGTTTTACTAGAAAAACATTCTGTCAGGCTGCAACACGATCCTCCCATAATTTCATGTGGTTTGAACTGGAAAAAAAACCTCCCCCAAACATCCCTCTTTGAGGAACACAGGGTCAGCACAGTAAGCCAAATACACAAACACACACCAAGGAGAGACCACTCCACAGTSCTTGATTTGGGGAGCTTCCTGTGCCCTGAGATCAAGGATGGGAGCTGCTCTCCRTGGCATGGCCTGGGTTCATCCCCATGGCAGAGGATGGAAGCATTTAGCAGTTTATGCATCAGTGCACCAAACTGGTGCTGGTCCACTTGGGCTGACAGCAAACACATTTGGGTACCCCAGCAATTCGTGGCTGCTCAGCACAGAGCCTGGATTAACACAGGCCAAATCCTCAGCAGAGCTCAGCAGCTCAGGTACAGTGCTTGCCTGAGCTGTACCACCCTCAGCTACTAAAGGCACCTCAACGGGTGTTGCAGAAACCCATTCACAGACCCTGCAGTGAATGTTCTCAGGTGCAAAACACTCAGCTTCAAAGCAAAGCCCTCTGCAAGTCAAAGCAGCACCTGAAATAAAGATGCTGCTGCTATGAAGCATCTCTGCTTCTGGAGCAGCCATTTGCCTTGCTGGATGTAGAAAGGCAAGGAAATTCAGCTCCTTGGCTTCTCAGCAAGTACAAATGAATCCATGCCAGGAGACCCTGGACCCCAGCTTTCCCAACAGTTGCGGTTCTGCCTTTATGAAACTCTCATTAGCATCACCATAGCAACATTATTAGCAGCTGAGTAGGAGCATCTACAGCGAGCTCTTCTCATTTGCCTTTGCCATTTCACATCTGCACAAAAGCACCAGTCCACTGGAGAGATGCTGAACTCATTTTGCCTCCACATGTGTTGCTGGTGAGCTACTGCTTGTGACAACCATGTCAGAAATCAGCTCCTAACACCAACCAGCTAAAGGGACCTCCCAGGGATGGTGCCTGCTTGTAATTACAGAGGGCCAGGGACAGATTCAGTGAGAGCAAAGGGATGATGCCCTTGGGTTTTCAGCCAAGAATGCACACAAAGGAGAAAGCAATTGAAGAGATGTGCTTCAAACAGACTGGTATTTACATTATCAGCTTTAGATTGACTGGCAGTGCTGGAATAACTGCATGGTCAGAGAAGGCTTGGATTTGGCCATATTAGGGTATTCCTAGCACACCTGGTGCAGCACAAAGCCTTATGTCCTAGTGCACCTATCCTTGCATAGCCATCCCCTCTCTCTGCTTTACAGGTACTCATTTGGTTTTGATGGGGGTGTGTCTGGCTACACCAGACCTGCAGACACCCAGGACATGGCTCAGGTGCCCCAGAACCATCCATCTCATGCTGCATTGAACACACAATGTGCTGAGATGGAAGGAACCCATCAGGATCATCAAGTCYAGCTCCAGGCCCTGCACAGCACCATCCCCAAGAGTCACACCACATGTCCGAGAGCATTCTGCAAATGCTCTTGAGCKCTGTCAGGCTGGTGCTGTGACCACTTCTCTCAGGAACCTGTTCCAGTGCCTAGCCACTCTCTGGGGGAAGAGCCTTTTCCTAAAATCCAGCCTAAACCTCCCCTGACACAACCTCAGGCCATTCCCTCGGGTCCTGTCACTGTCACCCCAGAGAAGAGATCAGTGCCTGTCCCACCCCTCCAGAGGAAGCTGTAACTGCAGTGAGGTCTTCCCTCAGTCTCCTCCAGGCTGAACAGACCAAGTGACTCAGCTGCTCCTCATACAGCTTCTTCTCAAGGCCCTTCACCATCCTCTTGGCCCTCCTTAGGACACTCTAACTGCTCAGTGCCTTTCTTATATCGTGGTACCCAGCACTGCACATGAAGGCACCCATGATTCCCCTTCAGGGCATGTGAGAGGGGTCATGCTGACATCCATGCTCCTTTCTCCTGGCAGCTAGAGGCCAGGCAGAAAACCACCACACCTCCAAAGGCATTAGATAATTATATTTAGGTTTTTGACTGGAGCTTGTGCAACCACATGAAAAACACGGAAGTTCTGCCATTTACAACAAAGCATCTAAATKTATAATGTAGAAGAGTGATCATTTATGGGTACCCAAAAACCTCCAGCAGAAACATAGCAACTACAGACAAGGTTCCCATGGCAAAATGTTGATGCCCAAGATTCTGGCACAGGGCTGGAAGGTATGTTCCTGGACTTGCAGGAGACTTGTTCCTTCTCTTGCTTGAAATTAGACATCCGAGGTTTATGCAATTGCATTTCACCCTAGTAGGCCGAACAAAGTCCCACACACAGATTTCTGCACCAAATTGCCCATCACAAACTTCCCCTTGCTGTCACAGTCACTTATTTGTACAAACTGAACCAAGCTGCCCCCACARTTTTGTAAAACTGTGTCACAAGGGTACCACACCACCAGCTAACACAGTTTGAAGACTGCCTACGTTAGATGCAAAGTTACAGTTCAAATCATGTCGACTAATTCCTTAACAGAGCTACTCCAAGTAGCCTACAGCCTGCACAGAAGCACTTACATAAAACATCCCCCCACTTTCAAAAATCAAGCAAAAACTTCTAAACCTCTATGACCAAAATTGTGAAGCTAAAATGATGAGGGGAAAGTGTTTTATTGCTTCTGGTTTTAAATAAGATTAACCTTCAGACTCAAAATGCAGTGGCAATTTTAGCAGAACCGAGGCACTTTTTGGGGGTGGTGAGGAGCTGGAGCACTGTGCACAACCCCCTGCCTTCTGCTTTTGCAGGGTATAACTGGGATCCGTTTTGCTGAAGGAGAAAAGTGTTACATCAAAGCTCAGCCAAAAGCTCACGTCCCCGAAGTTGATGTTATGGCTAAAGCGAGCCTCTCATCTGAGCTGGTAAGGAATAGTTTTTTTTTACCAATCTTTGTGTAGAGAGAGCCTTAAAAGAGGTATTTATATACAAATAAATATGGCATTTGAAAGCCACTGTGGCTCGTGGTAGGGTTGTTGAAGGTAGGGCAGGACAGCTGAGGATTCATTGACTGCTTGCAAGGAGTCTCTGAAAGCTAAGAAAATAACAATTGGTCTCAGACATGTCACTGTGTCCAGGGACATCGTGAGAGGCTGCRGATTAGTGAGTGGGGAAACCACAGACCAAATTCTACCAGAGCCACAGGGAACCCCCGTGACAAGAACATCTGCCTGAGACCAGGCTGTGCATGAAGCTGGGAGGGAAAGCGTGGAAGAAGCAGCTGCTTTAGTCAATGCAAAGAGGGACCATGGCAGATCCCAGGAGATTTCTATCAAAGCTCTTGAGCAGAAGTATGGACTCCATCACTCTATCCTTCCCTATTCCTATAGTTGGTAAAAGGGAATTGTGGAAAATATGGCAAAAATTTAGTTAACTCAGAGGAAATAGTATTTGTTTTTAAAAAGACTTTGCCTTCTTAGCATAAAATTTAATTTTACAACATGTTAACTAAGTTTCATAGAATTTGCATCACTAGCAGCACAGAAGCTGCAGTTCTCACCCAGATACGACCAAATCTCCTCACGTTTGCACAAAAAGCCGAWTACTTTATGTGCTGTTAGCCTGAGCTCAGACCCCCAAACCCATTGCTCACCCAGGAGTGGCTTCAGTGACTTGAGTCCAGCTGAGCCTGGACACTGCTGGAGGCTCAGCCACTGGCAGGAGAGCACAGGAGATCCACAGCCCCTTTCCCTGGRTTTACTTTGCTCCTGAGAGAATAAATGCAGACACAATTAACAGGGAGAAAAGTGCTGTTAAGGCTGCACCTCCCTGCAATGGTGCTGTGACTGCTGAAAATCTGCTTTAAAAAGAAGAGGGAAAGGTCTCTACAAATGTTGAGTCAGAAAGGCTGACAAATGTTAAAAAGCCTCCTGAAGCTGGTAGGATTTTCTCCATGATGGGAAAGAGAACTTGCATGAATTCCAGAGAGTCCCATCTTTCCTGCCTTGCCTTAATTAGCACTATTGCTTAGTTAGTTTGAATTTTTCATCCTTTTGTACGAACAAAGACACTGACCTGAAGACATTATCCTAAAATAATCAAAAAGTTCTAATCTTCTACCTGGTGACAGTAAAACTATTTCCTTGTCCTGTTTTTTTGTGCATCTTCTCCAAAGATGCTTCACCTACGCAACTGCTGCAATGAATCAATGYACCAAGCAGCCAACTTAGTGTTACCACTGCGACATTAACTTTTCACTGTCATGACCTTCCAGGCCAGATRTACAACAGGAATGACAAAGTAGTATTTATGTTTCAAGGCCAGATCCTCTCTCTGATACGGARGTATTTATGAGAAAGTATGCATGTGCTCTTTTCCCACAATGGGCATCATAACAACACTGCCTACAAAAATTGTTGAGTGAAGTGAGCTTTGATAGATACCCAAGTTCTGGCTGTTCACAAGTCAGGATCATATCAAACAGAAACAAAGGATATTTTTATTTCTGAAAATTAGATTCAGATATTTCTGATGTTGATAAAAGCTTAAGTGGGAGAATATAAATAGAGATCAGTAGACAGATTGGATAACAAACTTAAATGACTTGAGACCTACAAAAGAAATCAATAAACACACCAAACAACAACTCAAGGGAATAAATTGATCTAGTCAGTTATATAACAAGTTTTGATGACTTTTATGAAAGCAATTTAGAATTTTAACTTTGAAATCATGATGGTTTTCATGATTCAAAAGTTAGTTTTCTTTTAATATTTCACCATTGCTTTAAAATACTTACACATTTTATGTAAAATAATACTTTGAACTAACAACTTTAAAGAATCAATCACTGGCATTTTCCTACATTACTTTGAAGATATGAACCAAAAACCTGCAGGGTACACTTCAAAAAGGCAGGCTCCTTTAACTTGCACTTCAAGCTTTTGGTCAATTGAATTGCTTTTACCAAACAAGACCTTTAATCAGACCGATCACATTGACTTAAAACTGGAAGCTGGAGCAGTTCTCAAGCTATAATCCTCTCTAAAACTTTTGAACAAGATTCCACCCCTCACCCCCGCTACACACATTGTAAATACAGTTTTATATTGGGAGTATGTCAAATGAGAACAGAGCATAAGATGAGAGGCTTGGGTTTTGCTGGTGTATTTCATTGCTGCTTTGCTCAAGGTGGTAAATCTTCAGTTTCTACCACCTGAAATTCTTGTGCTTTGGGCTGAAAGATGTCTGACACTCAGCCCTTGTGCAAGAGAAAGAAGCCTTCCAGGATTGAGATGGGTGAAATCATAACCCCAACAAAGCTGACAGTGGCTTTGCCCTTCATTTCAGAGGTGGCAGCCTTTCCCCAGGCTTTGGCTCAGCACTATCTGTTCACATTCATGACACAGAAGGATGCTTGGTATTAGTTGCAGTGGATAATTATACAGTTTGGTGCTCAAGAATTAACAGTGAGCAGGCACATGACTGCTCACTGAGCAGCAAAGGATTTGTGCTCTTCTATTTGCAGGAAGATGAAATCATGCCTGTGAGATTTGACAAAAACTCCCTTATCTGGGTGGCTGCAGATGAGCCTATCAAGCATAACAGCTTCCTAAGCCCCAAAATTTTAGAGCTTTGCAGGGATCTTCCAATTTTCTGGCTGCGACCAACATATCCCAAAGGTAACATTTMTTTTATTTGAAAAGTATGTTATCCCTCCCTTCATCTAAATGCCTTCCCTATACCAGGTTTGCTACCAAAACTAGCACATCTGGGAAACCAGACTCCTTTCCTCTCTTGCCCACACCTTCCTGGGTTTGTGCCAAGATTGCAGGAGTTTATTCCCTAGATATTTTCCATACTTGTATTTACTCAGACAATTTGTACAGCCCAAGTGGGTGACTTGCTATGAGATGAAACATTTCCAGAGAGGTCAGCCTCCTTCTACAGAAGGACAACAGCTTAACCTAGCCCCCCAAATGTGTAGGCAGCTGACAGCTGCTCGCAGGAACACTGGCCAGGAATTGGGGACCACAAATAGACAGTCCTGTTTTCCACCCTGMTTCCCCAGAGGAATTCTATGGAAGATACTTTAAGCCAGCCAACTGGTGGATGGTTTATGAGATCACGTCGCAGATCTGAAGTTCTCGTCACCCAGAGCCAAGCTCAGCAAAGGTGCTTAGGAGTCGCCAGGGAGATAGCAACTCATCCAGGTGACTCACAGGCCTAGGAGGAGAGAAGGCTCAAAAATATTTATTCCTCCTTGGACCAGTTAATATCAGAACATTTGAGTGGGGCAACACATGTAAAAAAAAAAAATCACATTTTAGAGCACCTGTGGATCTAAGCTACCAGTATTTCCCACTTTGCTCATGACCATGCATATCCCACTGGGCAACACAAGAACAGTATCAAAGCTGTCCAGAACCAGCTGCYCTTGAGAGCAGGGCACCATCCTGCCATGAAAGAATTTTTATAAAGTGAAATGTGTACAACTGGTCTTGCTAGTGCTGGCAACTGCTGCTGAGTTAGTATAAGTAACCACAGGCTGGGTCAAAAAAATCTCAACGAATCTTCTCACACACATTTTCCTTCAAAGAACAGGAAGCAGCCAGGGAAAGGCAGTCACACTGCTTTGGACTGGCACTGGGTGCAGACACAACAYAGAAAGCATCCATGGGGATGCTCATCAAATTTGCCAAGGCACAGTTCTAGCTTTCTCTCTGACCTCCACCCTCTCCTTTAATATTTAAAGAAATCACTGAAATATTAGGTAACTACCAGGACATACTCAAGATAAGATTGTCCTATGGTGATTATTTCTTCAGATAACCAAAGGAGAGATATGAAAAGAAACAGGCGCCAATCAGAATCAAACTTTGAYGAGGAACACTTGGAAGCTGCTTCTGAAGAAGTAAACCTCCGGTCACACACTATGCAGCTGACTCAGGAGCTTCATCACCAGTCTAATGAAACCAGGCCACTGGAACAAGATACTGAYCAAACACTTAATCCAGACAACCCATATCATGTAAGTATTTGCACTGTAATCTTTCAGAGCCCAGAATTCTGTTGGACACGTAACACTGGTAATATGGGGTTTGTGGTTTTTTTAATTTTTTTAATCTGCACAATCTTTGCTTGTTCAGTTTTTCTGTGAAATAACAGACTTAGGTGGTAGAACACCTAAGAAGTTCAAAAACATCTTCCCTCTGTCCTTTTCTCCCAGTTTTCATTAGATTTCAGTCTGAAACAAGCACAAATGCTTGAGGTCACAAGGTTAAGGCAAGTTGATGCTGATTTGCTTTTTGAGATTTCCAGGTCTATAGGGAAACAGAACTGGAGAGCTAACAAGCGTAGCACCCTCTAAAAACAAACCAAAGCTGGTCTTGATCAGACAGCTGTGCCCCACCGTTTACTATGTGAAGAGTCCAGTAGCTAGAAACATGTTTTGCTGTCCAGTAGGGATGAGTACCAGACCTGTCTACTACCAAGGAGCACAGCAGAAGTGTTTGGGTGCAAAGAGATTAAGGTCCAGMCAAATCAATTTTTTTTCTCAGCCTCTTCCCTATGAGGGTAAGCAACCCTAGACTAGCAAGCAACTGACAAAGAAGAATCTGTTTTGAGACAGCAGCAGTGGGTGGAGGATGACTGTTGTAAAACTTGTTCTCACCCTTCAAGAAGCAGCAGCCCTCAGAAAGAGCAGAGGAGCCACCCTGCTGTGTTCCAACACCTCTGCCGTGCTGCAGGAAAAGTGGCTGTGCAGGAGGCACCTTCCAGTCTACTGCACCAGCGCCAGACAATTTACACCCACCATTTGGTGCAGCAGGAGTAAGTCATTTTAATACAACACTGTCACAAGATAAATGCCTCCTGCTTTGGAAGTAAGTCCCAGCTTTGACTTGACATTTATGCAACAGCAGGAGATCATTATACTGTGACAGCATTCTGCCAAGTTGACATCCCTTAATTAAACTTAAATTAATCACTCCAAATAAAGTGGATCTAAATMGACTCTCTCACGAGGTCACTAAAACAGCAGCAGCACTGGAATGTAGCTTTGCCTCACAGCTACTAACGTGACCATGTCCATGAAGTCTGAGCTACCTTGCCTCTGGAGGGCATTAGAACAACTGCCACAGGTCTGCTCTTCAGCCGGGGTAGCTGGGCCAAATGGAGAATGGCCAGACAGATCCAGCCATGAGACTTTCTTCAGCCTGCAGGGTGGGATTTGCCTTTACCAGCTGTTGCATCGATGCCTATGGCCAAGCTGTCTTAAGACACCGAATCATTTGATTTAAAAGGACCATTAATTATGCTGTTGGTCTTTCCTGAAGTCCTTCCCCTAGAGCTGTTTCTCTTTACTCACTGTAAGCAGAGCCTGGATGATGAGCTCAGGTGACGTTCATGGCACAGGTATCTGAATTCAAGGATGATAAATCCTGACCAAAGAAACATCTTTCCTGCTCTCAGGGCTGGGAAGGAGTTGCTGGGTCCCTAACAATACCCAGCTGTCACTAGTGTCCTGCACAAGCCCAGACAAGAAATGGCACCTTTCTGTGTCACTTTTTTATTGTGCTGCTACTTTTCTGAATGAAAAATGCTGTAAAAAGCTGCCTGATATTTCAGCATTTGCACATTTCTGCTGCTTTTCTTGAAGTAACATCAATRGGCAAAGAACAACCAAATTTCAAAAGGCAGAATATCCAGGTTACCTTTTGTATCCTCAGAAATGAAGAAAAGAATTTTGGGGTACAAGTTTTTAGATATTTCGTATGTGCTCTGCTCCACTTAACACCTCACTGTAAGCTACAGAGCAGGCAAAATTCTCACTGTCCACAACACACCTAAGTGTGGCCGGGTGGGAGGGAAGGAAGCAGATTGAGAGACAAGAGTGAAATCCTCAGAAAGCAGGGRACAGGGAAGTAGTTTCCTAAAAATGCTATAAAAAGCATTAAAACACAAAAACTAATACTAATAAAAACCAYACCATATACTTCAGGCATTGTCACCTACATGAAAGACTCAGATAACTGTCTTGAAGTCTTTTCCATCACTAATACTTAAGGCTTGGGAGCTTACTGTTGCTTGGAGCTTTTGCAAGGACTGTAGAATAAAAACAATTAAGTTAGAGATGCCTGTTGCAGTTTCCATTTTACAAGGGTGATTGCACCAGTTCTACGCTTCTGCTAAAGAAAGAAAGACAAAATAAAAAAATAATAAAGCAAGATGCACAGGTCACCWAGTGGGAGTTTCATCAACTGTCACAGGCACAAGACTGCAGTTTTTACTCCTTGTGGGGTTAACAGGAGCACAGATGTATTTTGCCATTCTGTGAGAATGAGAGCACRGGGTRACATTTAATATTTTACATTCCAGCAGCTGGAAGGTGAAGGGATGGCTTTTGACCCCATGCTGGATCACCTGGGTGTGTGCTGCATCGAGTGCCGGCGAAGTTACACCCAGTGCCAGCGGATCTGCGAGCCCCTCATGGGCTACCACCCCTGGCCTTACAACTACCAGGGCTGCCGCACCGCCTGCCGAATCATCATGCCCTGCAGCTGGTGGGTTGCTCGTATCATGGGCGTTGTGTGAGAAAATCCCTTGACAAAAAAACAACACAAAACAAAACAAACAAACAAACAAAAAAAAAATAAAAAAAAAAATGGAGCCTTAACAAAATAAGCAGGAATACAATGACAATGAACTGGTAAAAGACTAAAAAAACCAAAGCAAGCAGTACTAATCCTGCCTTATGAAATCAGAGGGTTTTTACTGCACCAAAAACAAGGTCAGCTATTCCAACTGCAAATTAAAATCTCGAGTTAATATTCCATTAGCTTTACAAGTGACAAGGGCATATTAGCAACTTGCTGAATTAAAAAAMCTGAGACATCCCAAAAAAAGCCAATGTTAAACTTTGCTTACAAACTGGTTTAGCAGTCCAGAAGCTTGCCCMTACATCCAAATTCAGCCTTTCATAACAAACCCCTCTCTTTCGAAACTATATGTGAAAATTTACATCCAATTAAGCAACTAGCTCAACTGGTACACTTGGGAGTGCCTTTAATCCAYGTAGCTTACTTAAATAAATCACAAGTTAAGTTGCTCCCCGTTGCTATTCAGAGTAGCCAGGTCATTATGAATGGTTATAAACCAATTACAGCATACCTTTCCCACAAAGCTGCTCCAGGGGACATGGGAAAGCGCACATTGTGCTAAAGCGGAAACAAACAGCAGGAAAAGGGRCTATGGAGGGGAATGTGCGTGGCTACTGAATCAAAACCCTTCGCACATCCCAACATCAAAGAAGCCCCAGCATCAAGAATCCTGTATCCATGATACCACTGTAGTGTCTACAAGTATCTGCTATCCAGCTACTACAGCAGAAGTATTTACATGCAGTTGCAGACCAATCTCATGAATCTCAAGACCCTCCAGAATCTACAACAGCCACTGTTATTTATAAATCCTTGAACTAGACACTTTTGACACAAGATTACAACCCCTCTTTATTTAACATGGATAGCAGCCATTCACACCAGTTCCTTTAGCTTTGCTGAAGCTAACATCCCTTCCCCACAAGASAAATAGTTTAACAGAAAGGAGGGGAAAAAAAGGCCTTTTTTTTCCTCTCCTWTCTCACCTCACTGTTTCTGCTTAGGAAAATTCTGCAATTATTGGGATTGATCCCATTACATACTAATCTCTAAGGAAGGTACTAAATTGAAACACTCAAAGGGGGAACAACTTAGTATTTCTAGCCTTGAAAAACGAAGATAGTGGTATTATACTGCCTTTATGCACACTATGCATCTTGAACCCTACCACTGAGTTATGGAGGCATCTACATGGTCTTTATTAACAAAATGGTTCTATTTTTCTTAAAGTTCGCTTTCTGGAGCATGAATTTTTGTGACTAAACAGCTCTTGAGATGTTGCAGGCCCAGTAATGTTATTAACACTGCSTGACACACAGAAAAGAGGAATTAATTTGACATAATCGTGGCTTAAAGAAAATAAAGACAACCTCATGTGGAATGCTAAACTGCATATCAAAAAAGCAGTGTTAAATGAGAATAAGATGAGAACAGAATTCAGTATTTTGTCCTATTGTAGCTTTTTAATATAAGCTTCACCTTCCCTTAATCTGAAGGACAGACTTGCTTTGAAATATTTAAATTATAAACTTCTTACAGCGGGATTTCAAGGCCTGTTAAATTTGAGTTTCTGCTTTTTAAACTKAAAATGACCTTGATCATTATGTTGTTTTAGAAGTACGTCATTCATATGCTTAGAAAAGTCAAGTTTTCCTTTTTTTTTTTTTACTGCAGATTAAACAAATATGTTTGAAAACCTCAACTGCTTTCTGGGCTTTTTTCAATGTAGAAGGTGTAACAATTCTTTTACATACTCATTCAAGAGCTGTCTGTAGAGGAAAAGAAGGGCATTAGCAAGTGAAACACTGGAGGCAAAGAGAGATAAATGTGACCGTGCCTGAACTAGACTGTTGCTCTCTTTTGCATCTTGAGGCAACCTGCCATCTGCTTCTCCCTGTGTCCCCCAATAAAAGTCTCCTTCTGAAGACACAGAAACAACCTTACTGTMGGTGATTTCCATGTCTACATGTTCTTTAAAGAATTAGTTCTTCCTAAACAAAAGCTTGCAATTATTTGCTTTCTACTGGTAGTCACAAAGCACAAAAGTAAAAAAAGCACCCTGCTCATGGATATATAGCTGTCACATATGGCGTGTACATCTTGAGAATGTCTGTATGCACCATGCCATGAAAGCCCCACTGACCATAACATTTATCTGTTTCCAAAAGATAGGCAACAAAATGCCTTCCCCAACTCAAGCTTCACACAAGCAAATTGCTATTTACCCACATATCAGATTCAGAGAGAGAAAAGTAAAGCTCTTGTGCTGCAGCAAGGCTGGAAAAAATCTGCAGTGTAACATCTGATTTTGAAGGAAAAGTTCCAAGGCAATATAGGAACAACAATAAAACAGGAAAGCCAACAGTGTAAAAGATGTTGTGATAGTTTCTGCAGTTGTGGCTCAGACTCCAGCTCTAACTATTCACTATTTCACTACTGTACAGTATTTACTATCAATGAGATTGAAGCTTTTCACTGGCATTACAGTTGTAATACCCTGGCCCACTAGAGAGGTTACAACATGTCAGCATTTGGGGAAGTAGGAAGGGGGCTGTTCCTTGAATCTGACCCTGTGCTAGCAGAAAACCAGCTGAAAGCCTTCCCCTGGCCATAGTTTAAGGAAGGAGGGAAGAAAGAGGAATGAGCTTGCCATCAACAGTGTTTCCCACCACAGGTGGGTGGATGTTTGTCACAGCACTACAGTTCCACTATCCTTAATTACCCATGTGATTTTACTAGGAGGATTAGAATGGCAGAGCAGATTAGAGCAGAAGGATAAATTCAGCCTGGTGAAAAAGAGACTGAATACAGGGAGCAATAGCATATGGTTAAAAGGACTGAAAGCCAGTGATGGGAAGGCAGGAGGAGTCTTTTTTTCTGAATCTACACTTCACTTTCTCCGCACTTAAAACAAATGAACACTTTGTCCTTTATGATATAGAAATCACTCTCCAATTGTATCTACATTAAGAAGTCAAAAAGAAGCTGGGAGGCATGGAAGGGGGGTGATCTGGCTTCTACTTCCCATTTAACACTTCACCCGTACTCCAGCACAAAAAAAAATTGTAAGGAAGTTTCAGCGAAGAACAGACTAATCACTTGTTCCATGCAGTGCAGGGGGAAAAAAAGTAGTGAAGCATAAAACTACAGTTGGCAAAGAACTGATTGCTGATTGACATGTCTAGGAGGACAGAATCTCTGCTCAAAGAGGGCAAAAGAGAGACTGAACCAGGAGCACCATCTTCTGCTTCCGAGAGGCTCAAGTGGGCTTTTACAAACACACACCTACAAACTGTTCTTTTACAAGCAACTAAACTGAAGATGAAGATAAAGCAACCTTTAACTGCAACAGGGATCTTCCCCAAGAACAGGAGAAAGAAATCCCATCTATGGTATTAAATGGGACAGCTACTGTTACCTCTTGCCATCCTGTTCTCATATTTCCACCAGTACAAATCAGAGCACTGAGGTGAARTTGCCTTGGTCTTCCAGACAGTACTTTATCTAGGTGGCCAAAAGGCATGGGAAAAAAGCCCTCAAGCAGTCCGAACACAAAATATCATCAATTGTCCTTCCAAGCAGCTTTCTTCCTCCAGCCAACTCATTACCAGTGCTGCTACATATTCTACTCACCCTCTCCAGTCCCAAAGAAAATTCCCTTTGTCACTGTAATTTTTTTTTTTCCAGAGCCTCTATTCAACCCCCAAGCTACCCTAGCTTTCTCTTATCTACAGCTTCTGGTACCATTTCGTGTGTGTTTTGTCAATAACAAAATACACTGTTCACAAAATTCATGAAGCACCTTCCCCTCAACTTTGTAAGGAAATTTTGCCTACTGCTTTAATCCAATCGACTCCAAACAAAAACCMAACACCCCCCCACATTCCCCTCCCCCTACAAGGCAACAAAACATACCATTATTGATTAGCCTAAACTCGAAGGAGGAACACATAGATATTATCTGCCTGTGCTCAGAAACATGCTGGAATTATGTCTAGACCCGCAAATTTGGCTTACAGGATTGAGATGGACAGGGAGCTCTACACTTGATTGCTACAAGTTTTAGCCTGAAGCTAAAGCATTATATTTGCATTACATATGCCTCAAGAGTACGTAAGTAGCAATGCATTTTATTTTACTTTTTGCCTCAAGCTAAGTGAATTGAATCTCAAAGCAGTGAAACAGTACCCACTTAATATAAGAATATATTGTGTTTATCTGACATAATACTCCCATGGTCTTTCAGTAAGTGAAAGACACGGGAACCTCTGCTATGTTCCCTTCAGTAAGTAAGAGCAACTTGACKGGCAGAAAACATCGTCAAATTACTTTTTAATTTCTATTTAAGAGATTTTTACCTAGGCTTTTCCCAAGAGCAAGCCCTTGCTAAGCTCTGTTAAGTACTCTGAATGACATTTATAAAGCAAGGCTGGCCAGAAGACAAGAACCCAATTTTGTGACAAAGTGAAGCACTCAGACATTTGTCTTCCTTCTACATTAAAAAGGAAGAAATGCTTTTGCGCATAAATAAAAAGCAGCAAAGCACTTATCCAGGAGAATGGAGTTCAAGTACCTATTCCAAATCAAATCAACTCCAATGTTAGCATCCCATATGGATGGGCAAATGCTCTATGTATCGAGCAACCAGCTATTCAAAATTCTCTGAAGGTCAAGAAAAGCCTCATAGTGAAGCTAACAAATCTTCATTGAAACATGTCCCAAGCATATGCTTTGAGAAACTCTTCCAAGAAGCAGACACTGCTCAATAAATGTCAAGAGGTAAGACACACAAAACCCTTCCTAAATCCAATCCACCTCGGTTCAYTGCATTCAAAGAGCAGGGTAACATTCAGTTCTGAAGGTTATCAAATTGGAGCTTTGGAAAACATGAATCAATTCTGAAGCCAGAAGTGATGCAAAAGAAACCACTGCCCAGCCTGCACTATAGGATAATCATGATCTCAGTACACCAAGAAACTGCAACTATGACAAGACTGTAGTCATAGTCTATAGCTGCCCACTAAGACAATCTGTGGCATACATAAAAAAAAAAAATCCTTTCTTTTTAGCATCTGTGAGATTTCAAAGTCTTGGTATCTCATGACTAGGCACAGTAATAACAGTGGGAAAAAAGCCAATGCACTTTCCCAGTATCACTGCAAAATCTAGATTCCTATTCCTCAGGAGGAACAGAATACATCCTTCCTTATCTTTAATTTTCAATCATCATTTAATACATAACAGCTGCAGACTTCACGTGTCCTATTAAAAACACCTGCTCTATTTCACCAAGTTCACCCAATTGAGACTGTGGGAAAATAGTATGGTCAATCCAAAGAAAATAGGCAGAGTAACAAATGACTGGGAAAAACCCACATAATTAGGAATGCAAGGGTAACTAGCAAAGTTAAAACAGTATCCAATGGTTAGCAAGGAATGAAGTGGCTTTCATGGCACTGTCAATATTTGCAATTCATGTCGTGTCCTATGATCACAGAACATTTAGCTGTCTTTGAATTCCCAGGAGACAGTGGCACATGGACAAGGCACGTTTAGGGCAACTTTCTGAGTTTCTCTCTCTCTCACACAGAATGACAGAAAGGCTAAGATTGGAAGGCATCCCTCAAAGTGCCCTTGTCCAATCCCTTAGCTCAAGAAGGGGCATCTCAAACAAGGTGCCCAGGAGCATATCCAGATGACTTTTGAGCATCTGTAGGTCCCTGCAGACTTGTATCCACAAAGTACAGGCATAGACAATACTCAGATTCTCAGGATTTTTTTTTCTTTTTCTCTATTGATATTTACAATTTGATCCTGACAATAAAGCTGCAGTGATGGAAACAATTAAGGACATACAAATTCTTCTTTAAACACTTTCTAGTATTCAGAAACTACAGAACTTAGAGCAACTGCTTGCTGGCTTTGATTCCAGGCAATTGCAAAAGATCCTTCATTTTGAATAAAGAAGGTAGACAGAGGACCCACTTTCCTGTAAAAATTTCCAGTCACAACAAACTTTCTAGCTTCTATCACATGTGACTACAGTTCAACCTATCACGCAGGTGGGAAGGACTCCAAAAGTGGGTATTTTGAGTCTGCATCAAGAATAGTAGTTTCATCCTCTTCACTGAATGCACATTTTGGCAGCTTTTCTTTTGAAGCAGTGCATTCACATCCTTACCTACATGCTTTAAATGATTCCCCTACCAAAAAGCAAGACTACTAAAAATGAAATAAAGCAGCTTCCATATAGAAAAAGTTATATTTACAGTTTTATTTAGCAGAGTTAAGGAGCAAACGATTTTAACACTGTTGTGAAAAGTGTTTTTACCCAAAATTGCCAAGATCTAATAAGTTATTGAACAGAAATACCAGGTGTAAGGCAATAATCCTGACCAGCCATTAGAGAGCACCCTATCCCAAAGAGCAGAGCTGACAGAGGTGGTAGAAAATTTGGACTGATGGACTCAATTTCCCGAAATTAAACAGAGATGATAAAAAGAGGGTTCTACTCTTGAGTGTATCTTTAACATCTGCAGATGAAGGAATTTCTAAAGCACACAAAATGCAAAGACAATTCCTGTTTTCAAGGGAACATTCAGTGCTTAGAATCCAAGAATGCTATGTCCATACATAGTGGTCAGTACATGACTATGGCAAC